GTCCTGAATGCTCATCCCATCTCCACCACCAACTCACTGTGTGACCCGGGGCAAGATATTTCATCTCCATTTGCCTCTGCTTACCCCCCTGCACAATGGGGCGAATGCTTCCTATTCACTTTTGTAAAGTGCTTTGGGAACGTGCTCTCTAGTGACTGCAAAGTATTGTTATTCCACTAGTAGCCATAGTACCGATCTTCACTCGGAGCTTCAGACCCACTTCAGTTTCACGAACCCCATACTCTTTCTGGATCCTCAGGCTACATTTCAGCGCCAGTGTAATGATATCGCTCAGCTGGCTTCGTTGCACTTTCCACAGTGCTAGCAGTGCATCCCCTGGGGAAGGCAGAGTGACAGAGACTTATGGGATACATGCTCTTCTTGTTCTAAAGTGCTGACAAAGCCACTTGGCTTTTCAGCAAGCCACAGCAGATCTACCTGTACCTGCCCAGCACTCTGACCCACAGAGAGATTGCTCACTAACCACCCCAAACTCCTTAGCACCTCCTGGCTGTGAACAGACCAACCCCTCTATGCTTCTAGCAGCTATCGGTTGTGACTACCTCTTCCCACTCAGGGTATGTCTACACTACGAAATTAGGTCGAATTTATAGAAGCCAGTTTTATAGAAATTGGTTGTATACAGCTGATTGTGTGTGTCCCCACATAAAATGCTCTAAGTGCATTAAGTCGGCGGACCGCGTCCACAGTACCGAGGCTAGCGTCGACTTCCAGAGTGTTGCACTATGGGTAGCTATCCCACAGTTCCCGCAGTCTCCGCCGCCCATTGGAATTCTGGGTTGAGATCCCAATGCCTGAATGATGCAAAACAGTTTCGCGGGGGGTTCTGGGTACATGTCGTCAGGCCCCTCCCCCTCCATCAGAGCAACAGCAGACAATCAATTCGCGCCTTTTTACCTGGGTTACCTGTGCAGACAACATACCATGCCAAGCATGGAGCCCGCTCAGCTCAGCTCAGCTCACCGCCACCATATGTTCTCTGGGTGCCGGCAGACGTGGTACTGCATTGCTACACAGCAGCAGCTAATTGCCTTTTGGCAGTAGACAGTGCAGTATGACTGGTAGCCTTCATCGGCGATCTGGGTGCTAGCAGATGTGGGGCTGGCAGACGTGGGGCTGCATTGCTACACAGCAGCAGCCCCTTGCCTTTTGGCAGTAGATGGTGTATTACGACTGGTATCAGTGGTTGTCATACTGCAGTTTGATCAGATGATGGCTGAAACTCCGAATGTCCCCCAGTCATATTCTGCTGCCTTCCCAATGATGATGGCGGCTATCAGTCGTAGTATGTTATTTTCTGCCAAGCGCCCAGTATTTTCTGCCAAGCACCCAGAAGATGCCGAGGGCTATCAGTCATGCTGCACCATCGGCTGCCAGCTTAAGATGTAAAAAATAGATTTGTTCTGTATTCATTTGCTTCCACCTACCCCCGTGAAATCAACGGCCTGCTAAATCCAGGGTTTTGTGTTCAATCTTTGGGGGGGGCCATTCTGTGTGATAGTTGTTTGTGTTTCTCCCTGATGCACAGCCACCTTTGTTGATTTTAATTCCCTGTACCTGTACGCCATGTCGTCACTCGCCCCTCCCTCCCTCCCTCCTTCCCTCCTTCCCTCCT